TTACATGGTAAGTTTCTATTACATTTAATTCATTACAAAAGGATGCCAATTTTTCCACATTTCTGCCTAGTTTTTGGCTCAGACAAATTTTTTGTGTGTTTCATAATCAGGCTACGGTTTCAGCAGGGATTTATTGCAGTCTTAGGTGCTGTCAGTCCAGAGGTTTTATTGTTATTCAATGAACCAGAAAGCAGCACAACTATTTGCATCAGTTATTTGTTATAAATTAGTGACATGCATTATCTGCTGTTGTATTAAATCATAAGCCCAAACAGAAATACTGAAATCTAGATAAATACTGTAAATGTATGATTGAATTATATAGAAATATAGCTATATAGATGTATAGCTTCCCTTATACTTCAGTTGTGGTTTATGTTCATTAATTTGCAAACTCTGAAAGCTACAGTGGGTGCTGTTATTCTCACTTTCACAGACAGGTATTAGTGCATGAAAATGTGAAGCAATTTGCTTCAAGCCAGGAACAGTCCAGTCCCGGGGCTGCTGCCATGCAATCTCCTGCCCCTATGCATTAGACTTCACATTCTCATCATTAAAGAGTGAAAAAGGTGGCAACTGCTTTCTTCAGTGCAGTCTATGCCCACCTGACCACCTTCCTAGATATTTACAGAGATTTTCAGTGGCACAGGGAGCCGCTGAAAGATAAACCAAATCTTCCTTTGGAGCAGTGCTAGGTTAATATGGATGTCCTTCAAAGTTCTCTGCGTGATGTTTGTTTCATTTTGCACAGGAATATTTGCCTTGTTGCTTTCAGAGTACCTGGGGGGTTTCAGTGCTTTATCTGACGAAGCGAGATAAAGAGCAATCTCTATGAATACTGGAGACTCCTTTCTGTCACATGTTTATTGCCAGCTCAGACTAGTGGCTAGCTGCACTTGCAGCGGGGGAAGGGCAGCTCCCTGAAATCAAAGACTTTCACACCTTTCATCTCTGAGGGCACCCCACTGCTACCCGGGGAAAGGAGATCAGGGAAATTCTAAGTGAATCAAGAAAAGATGGACCCTTCTGCAGGCATCCGACGAGTCTGAGCTCCTGTAGGAAGGAAACTTGACTTACACCCTTGTAAAGGATGCCTTGGAGAGCAATGCATCCTGCAATGCTGAGGCAATGTTAGCAATAAGCTTATGCAGAGGCATAAAATTTCATTGTCCATTGCTATTCATCTTCATTGTTAATAGATGAAACAGGATCAGGTGGAAATATACATTGATAGACATATTCGAAAGGCTTCAGAGAGATATGAATGCCCTGTCTTGCAAACCAGCTGCTACCTAGCGAGTGCTGAAATGCTCTCTGACCAGTGTGGGGGATGTAGGGCAGGCACTCAAGCCTTTGGCTCTGGAGCTTTCTGTGGCACTGCAATAGGAGTGGACATGTGGTCCGGGGAAGCTCCGGACGGAGGATGTTCTCCTAATTCCACCAAGGTTTTGCTTTAGTTTATGATTTTCTAAAGAACTCTTCCATCTGGATAACGGATAATTAAGACACTGGAGAAGACCTCCTGTAAAGGCAATTGTAAGCAGAAAGGGGACTTGTGTCCTTCTCCTCTTCCCTCCTCTCCCTTCCTGCCATCAGCTGATACAGAAATTCATCTAATATTGTATTTAATAAAAGCATTACAGGTTGGTCAGGGATAAAACAAAGTATTACTGAATGAAAGGGTAACTTAAACCTGTCCTGTCCGAGGATTAGGACCATCAGGGGAAAAATGTATTTTTATTAACAGAATGAAACAGCTTACGCATATCTGGAAGGAAAAAAGCTCAAAAAACCATCAAAGCTCAAAAACATTAGGTAAATTGCTGATGAGATGTTTGGGGGAAAAGCAAATCTAAAAGATATGTTGTTTTCTACAGAAAGACTTCCAAAAGAAACTCATAAAACCGTTCACGTATGTAACTACAGAACCTGAAACAAGATCTGGTGACAAAAAGTCTTGTGAAATGTTTTCAGGAAGTTAGCAGTTAGAACTGGTTGGATAACTGCTATTTCAGGTTGCTTTTAATTTTAGGACCCGAAACTGCTTTTTACTGAAAAATTAAAAGGCAAAGAATCGGTGTGACATGCTGATAAGATATGCCATCCTAACACAACTAGAATGTTTTATGTGAGCTATGTAAAGCTCCTGAATTTAAAAAAAAATCATAACAGGAAATTATTTCTAGTTTTAAATGTTAATGATTTTTTTTTTTTCTGAAAAGAAACGAACAGTGGCATAGGTCTGCAGAGTAACTTGGATCTGCATTTGCATCAAAACTTTCATCATCTGAAAGTTTAGGCCATTTCTACTCTTAACATAGTGATTGGCAGTACCGCAGGGAAGTGAACGAATAAGAAAAAAATATATATTATGTCCTCCATTACTTTCTTCCACATAAGAAAATAAATATGTTTCAGATTTATGAGAAGTTGCAGAAGGTATAAAGAATTGAGAATGAAGAATTCCCAGTCAGAGCAATCCACTAAGAACTGCTGAAAGCAGACCACCTACACACTGTTTCTGACAAAGATGGAAAAAGGTTTTCCAGTGCTGCAACAGTTCAAAAAAGAGTATTAGAAACAAAAGATCTATACAACTGCAATAGTTTCAGAGATTTTTTTGAAAACTGTTTGTTTTGAGTTATAGGTGATAAAATGTGTTAGGTTTTGCATCTACTTCTTAATGGCCTTAGATACATAATGAAGTGCCCTTTAATGAGCTGTGATGTGGGTACCGTGGTGCTACTGCAAGCCAGTCAAACGAAGCTTGCTGGAGTGGAGAATAGACCGATGGAAAGCTACTAGTGAAACAACTGTGTTAACCTAGATGCTTCTCCACAAGGTATAAGATTAAGTCACTTTACTCCTGTGCCCAAAATACTCCTTAAATACTCCCAAAAAGAAACAAAAAACTGTCAGAGAGATATTACTGTTCCTCTCAACAAGTGCAATATGTATTCCAAGCTTCTTAGTTACAGGAGGAGAACATGAGGGATGATTTAGAAAGGGACCAAAGTCTTCCAGTTATAAACTTCTGGCAGCTTTAGCAATGGCTGGCAGGCCTGACGAAACAGAGATGCATTGGATTTTAAGCCTGACAAGGATGAGCACAACTTGTAAACACCATCTGCAAGATGTCCAAACCATTGGTATTGCAGAATATGTTCTGCACTGAAACAGAATCTCGTTTCATCCTCATAAAAGTGGTCTAAATAATTTCTGAATGTAATAAATACAGTACAAATAAAAACAGCACCTGGCACTTCCTTGGATAAATCAAAGAATTCGGCATACAGCATGATGGTGGTATTTTGATGACACTGTTTCAGGCAAACAAAGCAGCGTAACTTGCAACTTGCCCAGAAGATAAACGGCAGGGTTGCCAAGAGATGGTTACTATTGCTAGCAACACAAATGAGAGACAAATTATTTTCTGTGAGCTCCTAGATTATGGTTGTTACAATATGAGTTTGATTTAATGTTATGTTCACAGTTATTGAAATAAAGGGAATTTGATTCAGGGGGTGGGTGAGAGAAAATGTTGTCTCACCATCTCAGAAGTGTCTGCCAGCCCAAGCTAGAAAACAAATTTTGCAAAGTATTTGTATGCTGACTCACACTGAAGTTCTTGCACCAAACTTCTTGACCTCCAGCTCCCAAATTTATGCCATATGCTTGCTTGTGGTTTTGAGGTCTGTTGCTCCACTGATGACTTGAAAGGATAATTGACAACAGCAGTTCATTGCTGCGATTCACTATTTCAGTGCTGGTTATATTCCCTGGTTCATGTGTCACCTTATTCTGTCAAAATAAACAGATCTTTGGCATTAGCTGTCCACACTGTGTAGTGTGATAGATAATCCTCAGTGTGTTTTTCAACAGTAAAGGAATACCATGATGCTATATATTTAAGTATGTTTATAGGTTTAGAAGAAGATTCCACTGGTCTTGCAGATGTCAAGGATAAGTCACACTGACATGGCTGGGATAAGAAACCCTCGGAGGCTAGGTCACAATTAATCCTCTTTGTACATTAGATGGTTTTGTGTTTCCTTTGGGATACTCTGAGCTGTGTTTTGAGGTGTAGACTTTCTGCTCAGTGTAGCTATTTGTATACAAATGCATCCCCATATGTTTTTGAGCCATAATGCTGGTATGCGCTGTTGACAGATCTTGGCAGCTGAGTATACAGGTCATAGAATATGTATGTGTCAGGCCTATCTGAAGAAATAACCCATGTGCAGGTGACAAAGAAATGGGTTTTGAATAAGAAAATTCAACCCACTTGTTAAATTTTTGCAAAATTTATGTATTTGCAATATGTAGCAACATGGACATAGTGTATATATATGTAAAGAAGTATTTTCCAAAATCAGGCCTTTTAAGCACTTACTGGCAGGGCAGGATTGTTTTCACTGCTTTACAACACAGATATCTCTATCTGAGGTGGTTGGCTTAAGCTCCCTTTATTGTCAATGGACATTCAATGGACATTCAGTCAATGCAGTCAAGAGTACATGGCAAGATTCATCTCATCTTAAAAAAGTCACCTCAAACTGGCTGGATCAGTTTGGTGCTAGAAATGCCTGTTTCTCTTAATTGACTAAAAAGGGAGTCTCCAGTGATGAGCTCAGTTGTGTCTAAAATTAGACAGGAGGAATCCCAGCCATATTGCTGACATTGCTGCAGATTGCCGACTAAAATCTTCGTACTTCCTCGCAGTATGAATTTTAGGTCTAATTTTCTGCCGTACTGCTTGTTGAATAGTTATTTGTGCATGTGTAAAACAAGGCTAACTCACTACTAATTTTAAACAGAATTTTTAACTGCTTGTGTTCTTTTATTAAAAAAAAATCGTCATTTGATACATTCAATTCCTGTGAAAGGTAAAAGGCACTGTACAGAATTGGGCCCCCTGGCTCTCATTTGGGACAGCTGTGAAGTAAGTATTTAACATGTAATTAACATTGATTCCTGACCAGTGTCTTATGCTTTACCAGTTCCTAGCCATCGGTGCTATGTTGGCAATGGCACAGAGTACAGAGGTATGGCAAAGACGACCATTTCTGGACACAGCTGCTTGCCTTGGGATTCAGACTTGCTTTACCAAGAGCTACATGTCGACAGTGTGGAGCAAGCAGTACAGCTTGGCTTGGGGCCATTCTCTTACTGCAGGTGAGAAAAGTTCTCATTTGCCCTGTATTTGTAAATCAAGAGATGGATGTATTGTGGAAGGGAGAAGGGCCATGAATCTCAAAGCAGGTGTTATCCCTGTCTCGGAGAAGCTAGACTGACTTTAACAGCCTGACACAAGGGATGTAAGTGTACAGAAGACAAGATCTGGTAGACAGGCTAGATCAATAGCTTGGTCTGCCAAATGAAGCTTAGACACAAAATAATGTTGGAGATTCCAGGTCATTTTTTTTTCTGGGATTTTTTTTTTTTTTTCAAATGAGACCATAGTGACTCCATAAATGACTATCCAAAGGGAGAAAGAAATGTGCTAGGCAAATTGAAATGGTTAACTTTTGATTTCTAACTAACTCTTAAATTGTGAAATATGTAACATAAAGGAAAATATTTTCAGAAGTGAAAAGTTATTTGAAAATGAAAAATCAAAGCAATATACTTCAATAATGTTGACATGGAATGTCAAATTTCTTTCCTGTATTTCTTCCAAAGGAAAATTATTGCAAAATAAGATTTCACAGTATTTCAATTTTGATTGAACCACACATATGATAAACTACATTTCTGCTAAAGTTTTCTGTTCAGCTGTAATGAAAATAGCTTGTGGTATATAGGTTTGTGCTTTCTTCCCAGTCACTTTATGTTCCCTCTGTCTTTGAGGTCTTAATGAAATCAATGGATATCCACAAACAAAGGAAATGTTTCCATTTAGAGACAATCCTGGAGATGAGCAAATGCTAGAAATGGCAAACTTCAGATGCTTCTCCATAAATTATTGGTTGATGTCTAGGTTTTGGGTTTTTGGGTGGGTGTGTTGTTTTTTTTTTTCCTTTTTGGGTTTTTTTTTTTTTTTACATGGAAGTTAGACCAGTATTTCAGGAAGATCAGAATAAATTGCACTTCCTAATTTGTTTGGTGATAAAAAGCATGCATGCATGCGGAAAGTAGCTCTTCTCTATCTAACACAAACTAATAACCAGTTCCTACACCCTCCCTCAATCCAGATTGGTTTGCTTTCCAAGGCTTGGTCCTGATTCAAGCACTTAAGTATGAGATTTATGGTGTCCCAGCATGGCAATTTATCGGGCACATATTTTATGCTTTGATAAAACTTGATCCCTTTGATTTGCATCATTTAAGCACAATATTCACTTGCAGATTTGAAATGCAAAGAATAAAATGGTGTAGGAGCTGATGTGTTCATGTTCTGTAGAGCTGTGAAAAAAGCTTTTCACTTTTTTGTCAGCTTGTTACAATTTCTGGGGATATCGCTGCTACACTATATAATCCTGCAGATATCTTCTTCTTCAAATAGTCTAATTTAGAAACATTGTTGGCGGAAGATGACTCAACCTGTGTTGCTTCTTCAGTTCTGAGAATTTGAAAGTGCTTTAATCTTTTTCTGAAGAGCAGTCAGATTAAAAAAAAAATAATATTGAAGAACCTTACAACAATAGATAGTGCTTCTGATAAATCCAACTGAAATCAGAATTACTGTTCATCTGGAGCCCTGAATTACCTTGTCTATTTTTCTTGGCCTACTGAAGATCTTCCTGGGTCTTCAAAATTTCCCTGTAACTGGGCAAATTTCTGGTTACTTATATGGCGTTGATAAAAACAATTAGGCCGTACGATGGAGAAACCGTAATGGAATCAAACCAAAACCTGTTTAACACCAAGGTAACAAAGGGCTAAACTGTTTCTGATATTCTTTTTTCTTCCCCTTTGGAGGAATACAGTATTTTCTTGAGGTAATCTTTCATTTCCTCAGACTCTCCAGGGAATGTGAACTTGAGCTTCTCAAATTCATTTTTGCTATTCTTGTTATGGATTTTCTATGAATCTACCTGTGTTGGAATTTCCTTGCTTAAAAAAATAATCTAAAAAAGGAATCTCTCCCATGGGATTTAGTCCTGGAAATAGCTGAGCTGGTATCTGTTAAAGCACTTCAGTGTGGGCTGTATTTAAACCATGTGAACGTGCTCATGCATCCAAATACTTGTAGGCAAATTTTACAGGTGTTTAGTCATGTGTCTGTATTTCAGGTCCTAGAGAACCTTAGACTTGGTTAGCTTTAAGCATGAAGAACGCTACTGAAAGGCTGCTAGCCCATTTAGGGGTTAGCAGGTGCTTCAGCGCTTTGTCAGATGGCTCAAAACCTGAGAGTCCTGTCAGTCCTTTGCATGGTGCAGAGGAAAAAGCAGGAAACCTCTGGGAAGTTTGGAACAACAGTGTGGTTAATGCTTGTAATTCACTCTCCCCCTGAATTAACTAGAAATCCAGATGATGATGAGAAGCCGTGGTGTTACATCACGAAGGACGACAGTTTGTCTTGGGAGTATTGTGACGTTCCATCCTGTGGTATGTAAAGGCTCTCTTAAAATCCATGTTATGAATGAATGACGAAAGATTTATTGATACTAGAACAAGCTTTCACTGTATAATTTTGAATGTTCTACTGTTCCCAGGAGTGTTGAATATTTTACTCTTTGCAGTAAATCAAATGACAACAACAAGCTTTTTTTTGCATTTTTTGGAGCTGTGATACAATCTGTGATTTTTGTCCCGAAACACTGTATAACAGCGGTGTCACACTACTGCTTTCCATCAAAATCATCCCAGTATCACCAAATTTTCTGCTAGAACATGCAAGACATCAGAAATGATTAATGCTTTGGTACAAACTGTTATCACTCAGGGAATTACGGGCCCAGAGAAGTGAATGGGCCTCTGTGAGCAAATAGAGGATGGGATCCTGAAGATGTATGAGACACAGTATTTAATTCCAAAAACTAAAGATTCTGCTCTTCCCCTAAGTTAATATTTAACTGTTGTTAATGTTGAAGCTGACCTTTGGAATGGAGTTGTAATCTGAAAAGTCAGTTTATAATGTGGTCCTTTTAGTTCCCTTTTATGGTTCTAATGCATTTGATAGATGATGTTAACACAAGCGTCCTAGTCTTGCTACTGTAATGGCAAAACTCAGTCCAGAATCCGAAAATGAAGATGTGATGTATCATGCATTCTGTTGGGCCTCCTCCGGTAGTGAAGATTATATTTGTACTGGTAAATGAAACAGTGTCTTGGGAATGTTCACAGATGCATTTAATTTACACTAGTACATGTGTAGCCACTGTTGGGAATAGGCATAGCGTTCAGTCTTGCAAGTCTCCTGAGGAACTGAATGAGATTCAGTTGTATGTGAATGTTTAATGATAATTTAATGAATCTTTCTTTTAAAGACTCCTATAAAAGTTCCAGTACTTAGAAATCACAAGGATTTATAGTTTGATGCCATATCCCTTTGTATCTCAGCAAGCAGGGAAAGGAGGCCACCACTTCCAGACAATGTAGATAGTTCTGCAGTTACCAGAAGACCATGTGGGAGAAGACACAAAAAAAGAAGTTTTGTGAGACCTAGGATTGTTGGGGGATCTTCATCTCTGCCTGGATCTCACCCCTGGACAGCAGCTATCTATATTGGAGAGAGTTTCTGCGGTGGAAGCCTTATTCAGACTTGCTGGGTTGTGTCAGCAGCACACTGCTTTGCTAACAGGTAAATTCACCCGTTAGTTTGACAGTAGGTCTTCTCTTCCTCATAGTCACCGTCTGCTTGTGACTCACAACAAACCTGAACTGAAGCAAGTGAGAAAGAAGATGGGATTTTAAAAGGCCAATGTTTCAAAAGGAGTTTCTGGCAATTTGGGTGCAGTTCATGGGCTATCAAATAACTTGCAGTCCTGTTGTCTCACAAGACCTTATCTTGTTCTTTAAGGAGTCTCAAAGAAGCTAAATGACCCGACTGAAGGAATAAGGTAGTGCTGAGCAGGACAGAATGGGAGCTTGCATGTGCGGGCATCTGCAAGGGGATATAAGTATTTCTCTTCCTGCCAGTTACCTTTTTGAACGTTTATGCATGCTTTGAGATGTAACAGAGATGACTATGCTCATTGCTGGGTTTTGTTCAAAAAGGCTGACAGAGCCAAGCAATGATTTATTAAAGACAATAAATTACCATTGGTTGACACAAATAGAGTGGGCTGAGCTTTACAAAAAGCCAAAGGGAAGAACTGAACTGTTAAATTTTTGAGGCTGATTTCCTTGAGAGGTGTTTTGGGGTTTTTGGAGGGTTTTTTTCCTCCAGCTGTGGGACACTGGAGAGAATATTGACTATAGGATGCTCTTACTTCATTCTAAATATTTAATTTTCCACAAATGCTGAACACTTTCCCCGATTTCAGTTTGATCACATTGATGGGAAAAATATTACATCATTTCATACCCATTGTTCCTTTGCATAGTAAAGAAGCCAAGAGAAACAGAAAACCTCGTGCCAGAATACATACACTGATAGCTTGTAGAGCTAATAATACCATTGCGAATGCTGTACTGAAGCATTTGGAGCTCGAGCCACAATGCATTTGTTTTTCAAATGTTGTGAAATAGCTACTAACTTTGGCAGCTATTCAGGACATTTCCACCCACTTCCAGCTGGTGGTTTGGTACATACAGATTTTCCATAATTGCTGCATTGTAATTTGCACTCTTCCGTATATTTAGTACCTCTGAGTTAGCCACAATTTCAACTGTTTTCCGCTAGGCGACAATAGATACCTGTGCAGTTAACTACTTTTTTTTTTTTCCTTTTCTGTAACCCCTCCTGTTTTATTTCTTTTCCTGAATGAACCACCTGTAAGTCATAGTATAACCATTCATTGCCTTTAAAATCTATTCTAAATACTACCCTGGGAAGCAAACTTCCACTCTGTTTTACACGCCCAAAACCTGATTTTCAAGGAGGTTGGTTTACCACTGCAAGAACACTGAGAAAATCCTAGCCTCACATATCGATCGAAGAATATTTTATTGTCCTCTTGCTTTCCAGTCACAGAAAGATAAACTTTGTGCTTTCCTTTGTTAATTATAAGCATATTTATTGTTGCAGGGTAGCTGCTGGTTCTCTGTGTTGCAATTAGCCAGAATCTCTTTCCTCTAAGTCCATTACTGTTGATCATTGCTTCATGCTCAGTACTGGAGGAGACTCCACAGTGTTTTTGTATCTGATGGGCACTTCTCATGCAGAGAAACACAACTAGGGAAACCGCAATGATTTGACCACTCTGCATCTGTGCATGATGCTTGACAGCAGATACTTTCTGCTCCTGCACTGGATAACAAAACATATGAGTGCTCTGATGTCGAAGACAGTTGCTAACTAAATTCATTGTAGACTTACGCACACGCAGATCAAATTGGTTTTAAAGCAAGAGTGAAATTTGAATTCTGTTGCTTTCAAAGCTAGAGAATTTACTGCCTTTCCAAACACTTTCTGATTATTCCCAAATGTCCCTTTCTTCCCAACTGTTGTACTGGTTCTTATTAGTTGTCTGTCCTAGGACACTGGGTATGAGAGAACTGTGGTCTTTTAAAAGTAAACAATCAATAGCTGAAAAAGATGGTGTCAATTACAACAACTGTGTTCTCCTCTGAGCGTGGTTTTTCCCATTAGATCAGGGTGCTGTTGGGACCTTCCTCCACCAAGTTGCTTTTGATTCTAGGCAACAGGTTTAACATAGATCAGTCTAATCGCAGAGCAGAAGTGGTGATAGCTCTTAGGTGGAAGCTGCCCAGACGTTCCTGAGTTGTCAGTCTGCCAGCACCTTTAAAATCTTGACCCACGCCTGTAATATTTTAAGAGCCTGGTTTCCCAGAGAAATGAGATATCCACCACTGACTCATCTTTTGGTCCCTCATTTCTTCCTCGGTAATTTTTGTACTCATTTGCAAAGTCTGGTTGAGGTTGACTCAGTTAAGTTTCTAGAACAAGAAGTGCTCGCGGCCCCTGAAGATGCTTGTTAGCCAGACAGCAGCTGGGCAGCAGTGCCTGTGCTTGCCTTTTACTTCTGTCAAGGAGCAGCAGCCTTTAATTAGGCTAATCAGGACTCACAGAGCCTGGGACTCGCTATAACATTAGTCATCTTTTTCCTGGCCCACAGTAGGTAGGAAGCCTGGGAAACAGGTCAAGGCATTATGAGAGGGTAAATAATGGATGTGGTGGGGAGCTGAGGTTATTACAGTTCATAGGACACACAGCCATTAGAAATTAAGTTTTGTTTGACCTGCTAATCACAGAATTGCTTGTTCTCTCTTTTGTATTACAGCCCACTAAAATCCACTATTACGGTAGTTCTGGGTCAGCATATATTTAATAGAACAACTGATGTAACACAAACATTTGAAATAGAAAAATACATTTTGCATCCTCAGTATTCGGTGTTCAACCCTACTGAACATGATATTGGTGAGTATTTTTGTTCTTGCAGTTTTATTTTTTGTTTGCTCAACTTAGTTTCAAGTTTAGTTGATATGTCAAAAACTGCCTTCATAGTGGAAAAATCGTAGGCATTAGGAGAGGCTTTTGAGTGCAGAGCGTTCTTAGTTCTACCAGAGTTATAACAGCATCTGAAAGCTAGACAAATTCAGATGAGAAATAAATTGTAAATTTTAAATAATTATGATAATTAGCCTTTGGAGCAATTTACCTAGATGTATGGCAGATTCATCATCACTTCAAGTCTTTGTGGGATTAGGCATTTTTTCAACTGAAGCAGAATCTGTGGGCTTGATGCAGGAATTACTTGGTAAAATTCTATTGTCTGTATTGTATAGAGGATATGACTAGATGAATATAATAGCTCCATCTGCTCCAAAGATCTATCTTACTAAGAATCGTTTTTTACACTGAAATAGATTTAAAAATCAGCTGTCTTATCTGTCAAAAGTTAAATGCCCTTCTGATTGACCTTATAATATGAGTCAGAATGACAACGTAACAGCAACTCCTTGTTTTCCGATCTGCTCTGCAGAAGGTGGCACGTCACCCCGGAGTATCAAGCTGTGTGAGCACTTTGTCTATGAGACTATTTAATAGCCTGGCATCGGGGATATTTTAGATCAGTCATGTGCTGGCTTTTTTTTATTTCCCAGGTGGTGAATATTTTCCAGTATGTAGTAAAGAGCATTCAGATTCTGTGTTGGTGGGAGCTCTGTCACAGCGTACCAGGAGATAAACAGGATTTGGGGTATTACTCTGCTCTGAAATATCCTGGCAGAAACCACCATTGGGACTTTGAGATCTAACTTTTTGAATTACTCTGAAATTCGGCATGCCTCACTGAGGTGCAATGTCCAAATCTAGGGTCAGCAGAACATAGAGTTCCTAAGATGTGCCCCACTGCAAACAATCAAGCAGGCAGAAACTGAGGGGAGAAAGATGTGGGGGCACATTCTGCCTTCTCAGTGATTTCTACTGATGCAGCAGAAG